GGCTGATACAGTTGGGCCATCTCTGCTACTGAGTATTCTTGTAATACATGCTTTTGTTATAAATAATAAAATGAGATAAGTAGACAGTGGAAGAATCTCACTTTGAAACAATTACACTTTTCACCTCATGCATCCTGCTTGCATATAGTTTTGAATTGGCTTGCTCAAAGAGGTGCAAGAGATCTAGAGCAGTGAACAGGAGCTCTCTGTAAAAGTGACTGTGGCTCGGGAGGTAGAGGTATTCTTGCAGTGAAAGTAAGATGAAATTGAGGGAATTTGAAAGAGTAGAACAGCAGAAAAGGATGCAATTCTTGGAAAATATTAGAAAACCAAAATAAAAGTGTCTTAGTTAAGTGGCTCATATTTGACAGTTTTAACCCACTCCCAACTTTCTTAAATGTGCAAGTTGTAGCAGTAAAAATATTAAAAGTCCAATCTCTGCGAAGTATAGCCGTGGTGAGAATAATTTGTGACACTGCCAACTAGAGAAATTTCAGTTAGAATATGATCACTAAATAGATAGCATTCATTTATAGTTAATAGGTTGAATGAGTTCTATACACAAACTGAATAGTCAGTATGTGAAAAGGATATTTTACTTGTAAGTAGACTGAAGGACTGATTGTAATTTGTGCAATCATAGATTCTCCCTAGGATTTACTCTTGCTCAGAAAAAACTACCTATGCTGTGCTTTGTGTATCTGCACAACCTGCAAGCACCTTGTAATTATACTGGCTACAAAGCTGGTGCTGCAAAACTTAGATTCCTTTCTATATGCAAATAGACCTAATATTTCTGTGCCTTGTGGCAGGAGTGTAAGGTATTGCTGCTGATGCCCTACAGGTTTTGCATCAAATCATAAACAATATTGCTCTTTGTTGTAATATGGAAACTTGTCTTTGGCCTGAATGTGCTGAGACAATTTGGCTGCATGTGTTACTTTTTATTTTGCCATTGAACATATTGTTCCAGTCATATCACTTTAGCGTATCTGGTCTAATTAAATATTTAAATTTTTATAGGCTGCTGGTTTAGCAGGATGACTAAAAACCTCTTAAATCAAGAATATACTAAAAATATTTTAAAAAATCATTATACAGAGAATGAGACATCTATAAAAATCTGTTTTTGAACAGTGTCTGGAAAAGAAAGACGGTGAAAAGCTTGCAAGAGATTTTTCCCCTTGCTCAGAATCATCTTGATATTTACTGAATATTTTATTTTCTGAGTAAAAAATAATAATCTTTAACTCCTCTAAAGTGTCTGTGTTTCTGGATTTGTCACTCTAACACAGCTGTAATTTTGTCAGCACATGAACTGTATGAAACAGTGTTTCTTTAAAGTTTTATTTAGGACAAGTGTCCTAGCCTGTGCCAAAGAGAGCATTTTTTTCAGAGTAACATAATATACAAACTCTGAAGACTCTTCTAAAATCTTTCCTGGTATTTGGATCATGCCCTGGTGTGGGGAGAGGGAGGATTAGGTAGACTCTGAGTGTAACTAAAAACACTCACTCAGTGTGCTAAAACAAATGTGCACTTTACCATATATAGAAACAAAATCCTTTGTGAACTTGGACATTGTGTAGATAACATTACTTATCAAGCATATGCTGTGGAGACAAAGATTTTAGTTGGTGGTACTGAGCATATGCTGAAGACTTGTTGCATGCATTTTATTTTGAAACGTCCTGTATTAAGACAAAAGGAATAATCTGCTTGTAGAAGTTTCTTGTTAACAATTTGAAAAGCAGCTATCTGAATAGCTTGCTTGGATGGGAGGAAAAAAAAGAAACACAAAAGTGCAAATCTGCGGAGTATGGTTGCCTTTAGAGATAAAATTTGCTGGATATATGCCACCAAACGTTTTATTTTCCACCATTTTATTTATAAATATATGAACCCACTAGGTAAATAATAACCTTGTCCTTGTGAAAAAGCCCCCGCTAAAATAGAGTTTAAATCAAGTGCATGTGTTTTACATGCAGGTCAGATCTATACAGAACTGCACAATTGTTCTCTTTTATATGGTTTATATAAATTTGAACAAAAATTCTTCATCAAACACCTCTGAACTTTGGAATATCTGAAGCCAGGTCCAAATTCTGAGACTGGATGTACCTCTATTTTTAAACAGTCAGTAATTTAATTTCTGTTAAGAAACTTGTTCTCTATGAAAGTTGCAAGAAACGCTTCAAGCTATGTCTGCATTAGCAGGCAGCATGGTGCAGTACGAGCAGATCGGTTGGTATAGAAGACCTAGGATCTACCTAATGTGTGTTTCAGGGAGGGGCTATTTAGCTCTAGTTTGATTCTATGGACTGGTTTCCCATTAGTGGTTGGTATGCGTTAGCAGTGCTCCCAGAGATCATCTCCCAGTTGAATTTCATCATAAACCATTTTGTGCACTCTGAAGCTGTTGTGTGATGTGAACCAAAATGCAGGAAGTGGGAGTGATGGGGGCTTTGCTTTCAACAGCATAGTTCTGATCTGAGCAGAAGTGTTAGTCTAATTTTTAAGTCATGAAATGTGGTTGAAAAACTGAAAGAAGTTGCTGAGTTGATGGATACAACATAGTTTCTTTTACCTACTTCAGAGAACTTTTAGGTTTCAAATTGTTGGCAATGCTTCAGCATTACTTAAAAGACAAAAAGCTTGGAATAATTGTCCTGGAACAATTAATACAAAAGTGCCATATAAATTAATCTGTATATTTTCAGATGCAATTCTGGGCTTACTGTTTTTGAGAATTACAGTTTCATGTAAGTTTTTAACATCTCCCAGAACAGCCCTGCTGTTTACGCAGCAGCAGCATAGCTGAGGAAAGCTTTTCACACCTGTTGATCGACATCTGAAGATGAGATAACAAGCATGTGAAGTCACACTTACTATCTTTCTCTCCATCTATAAATAAATGCCACGGCTCTCTTCAGCTTGTAATACATATATATAAAAGTCTGGACACAGCTGAGAGGCATAGTAGCATTAAGGTATCATGATTTACTGGCTATGCCATTCTTAAGCCAGAAGATAGAGTGGATAGTTCTCTAGCTGGACGCTTGGTAAAGGATTTGCACCAGGAACCACTGACACCCTACTGAGGTAAAGAATTCAGCCTTGAGCATATGATAGAGAGAATTGCTGTATCTTTCTCTCATATTTAAATCTCTCTATTCAGTTCTCCCAGACTGAAGTGACTGTAGGATGAGATTTCCTATTTTTCTCCTCTGTCAGGATCAAGGATTTAAGAATCTGCATGAACTGAAAATCTTGGTTTCCTTTATGGTGTATTGGTGTAAAAGTTTGCATATAGTTTGCTACCTGCAATTGGATAGGCTTACCCTCTAATTCTATCAAAGTCATGTCCAACCTCAAACTTCTCAAAATAGCACCATGTGATGATGCAATACCACTGAACTTTCCCCAAAGTTTTGGCATCAGGTCATGTTCTATGACTTTCTTTTAACCTAACAGTTCTTGTACCTACATTTCTGAGAGTTTCCCCACATTAACAATTGGTAACAATTGGCCTGTTAGAGAGAGAGCAGATCTGGGTCTTCAGTTTTGAAAACACTTGATCTCATTCAGTTTTAGAAAGCTATTTTTTCCCAGACGATATACTCAAATGCCTATTATTATTATTATTGATAAATCCGAAGCATAGTCCTCTGTCAGGCTGGAAATGCCAAACTTCTATTGTTGTCAAGTCACTTGACATACTTTCTCATTTTTCATACCAGTTGAAAAGAAATACAGAATCTTTATCATATGTAGAAGATTTATTTTTACCTTCAGTTACTCTACAAAGAAATGAACATTAAGCAAATGTTTTAAAACACCAGTGACATTTTAGATTTCTAAAAATAGACATTATGTGCACTCTCACTTTGAGAAGATTTATGGGCTTTATCAGTCGAAAAACATAAAAGCTACACTTAGCCTCCATGATACATGAGGAGCAGAATTATGTTTTGTGCCCCAAAATAATTCAAGAACTAACCTTTAAAAAAGGGTGCAACACTTTTTTTATGTCTGATTTTGATATGCAGACAGAAATTACAAATGCAGTGACACACACATTTTAAAAACATTTAAATTCTGAAATAACACTTTAGGACATTTTGAAAAGTCTTTGAATCTGTGGACATTGTATTTCAGGCTTTGGGACTCATCTGAATTTTTAAAATAAATTTAAAGTAATGTACAGCTTCTTATTTTGATTCCATAGTCTTACATTTTAAGCATCTTCATTGTAGAATGGGAAAAGTATATAAGATTGTTTGCCACTAAGTTGTTAATTTCTGCTAGTCTTGTAGACTTGCTATAAAATTTTGTAGTTTTTCTATTTCAAAGCGGGTTCAAAATACCCCAATAAATCATTTATGAATTCCACTGATATTTTTTGAAAATGCTAAGGTTTGGTCTGTCAGTCAAGTGTGTATATGTAGCTGGCACCTATCTGAAAGCTATGTAGCCCTTAAAAAGTTTTGGAAATTGATTTAGGACTTCACCAGGCTTTTTCTAAAAGATCTTTCCTTTGCATATTTTAATTAACATTTATTTTTAAAGTTGTTCAAGTTTTAATTTATCAGCAATGAAGGTATTCTGATGATATTTCCCCATTGTTTCTATTATGGAAATGGAAAGATGGAGATGCAAAAAAACCCAGTATCATTTTCTGCAGAAAGGTTTTTAAATTTACTTTCATTCTCAATTTGCAGTGAGTTCCTATTATAGTGTGTGGTTGTTTTTTTTCCCAGAAAACAATTCATGTGTGTGCATGTGTCAGAGCAATTCTCTGCTAAGTGATGTGAAAGCTGATTTCATTGCAAATCATTAAAACGACGTAGAAACTTCTGTTTTGCTTCTTACTAAACAGTCTTTATTGTACTAGCCATTTTATTGTATGACTTGATATTTATTCCTTATCACAGTTACTGCATCAGAAAATTAAGTCAATATAACCCCAAATCCAAAGCAAAGTAAGCAAAACCTATTTTGGCATACATTAATGGTACCTGAATAATAAGATGGTGGAAGCAGATATGAACAACTGCTTGTTTTGTACTACCCATGTAAAATAGCTGCTTTTCTTATGACCTGTCAAGTTTCTACATTTGTTAGGGCCCAGCCTGTAACACTTTGACGGCTTTAGTTTTTGCACAGATACTTAACTTATGTTAAAAATAGTATCTCAATTACAGAACTTATGTATATGCTGTAGTAATCATGTAATACCTTGGCTGTTTCACTTTTTTTATTCCAGTACAGCTGTTTTAGTTATGCTTCATTGAGTTATATTGGCCACTTCAAAGATAATTTTTAGCAGAATTTTGCTGGTATAATATGCTACTGCTGGCTAATACAGACTTCCACCCCCCTCAGAATCCCACAGGAAAAGGCTTAAAAGCTGCTACTTTGGAATCAGGCAGAAGTCCTGACACTTGTACTGCAGTTCTAAGCTGTTAATGGCTTTTTGTGTGCATGCATATATTTGTGTGTTATCGTAAGGCTAGCATTTTGGGTAAACGGTAACTGCTTCATACCCCTCTGGTGGCCTCATGCGAGCTCGTGCATGAGCCTCACAGTATAGCTGGCCCTCCACAAAGAAGTAGCCTTTTTGTTTCAGGTTGAGATTGCAGTCAGAGCACACAAAACATTCTGGGTGCCGGTATTTATCACGTGCCTTCACCACTGTTCCTCTATATGGAAACAATTAAAAGAAAAAAACAATTAATTCATATGAATTAAAGTGAGAAGAAACTACATTATGACATAAAGTGAGTTCTAGGTATTTATCTTCAGGGTTTTAGATTGTCCGTCAGGTTGTTTTGCCAACAGCTATATAATTTAAGGTTGGAAGCTGAGTTTGAGTGACATAAAATGCTGTAGAGTTGATCACATAGTTCAATAGTTAATTGGAAAATTAGAATTTGAAGAAACACGTTAGTTTGGTTGCAACACAAAGTACAGTGTAACCTATCAAAATGGTGACAAAATGAGTTTAAAACCACATTCCTTTTCCTCTGTGACTGTGTTCTCTGGGCTTATCATTATCTGTGTCCTTTGCTGAAGTCAGTGATGTCATTCAGATAGAAATCTGGTAGTTTTAAAATAGGCCCACAGAGCTTTCTGGATACTCCCACTGGGTTGGGAGAAGGATGCTTTATACTACCAAGAAACTTCTGAGAATTCACAGCCTGAGCCAATGCAGCACAGGTGACAGCTGGTTTCACTATCTCTGTGTTAATGATTGACTTGCAAAAGGTCCTGAGAAATCTTAATTAAAGCTTTGATGGTACATTATCAAAACTGAAATAATTTGTATCGAAAGTGTCTAAGATACAGGTAAATAATTTGGGATTTAGAACAATGTGTTTTTATATCTCTGTTCTCTAGAAGTATTTTTCTACTAGTGCAGATGGAGACACCAAGACCATCACTTGGACAGCATTCCTGTAGTCTTGCAGTGGTGTTTGAGGGAATGTGCTTGAACTAGAGATTTCTAAAACTAAAAAAAACAACTTACAGAATCCCATTCCCACACTTGTCACACAGTGGCACTTTCTGGACACCAGGCGTGGCAGTAGGTATCTTTGTTACAGGTGCTTTCACACTTCTTGTACCCATGGGGCGTCCGTCTGAGAATCAAAACAATCCTGTTATGTACAAGCTAATACAAAAGCATCTGATGTTGTTAAATACTTTTCCTGTAAATATACTTCTGATTGTATTTACAGGCTTTCATTTATATCATCAAACAATGAAGTTTCTCTATAGAAGTTTGGTGGGCCAGATTCAACCTCTCTGGAATAGGGAAAAACATTGTATAGCTGTAGCCAAAAAGCAAGTACAAAAGTGATTTTATATATATACTTCTTGCTGTCTAATAGATATCATCTAATTCTCTGACAGTAGGTCTTGGCTATAGCAGGAGAGGGAGGAGGATTTGGCTTTAACATAGCAACATAACATAGTCAAGACATTGTTAGAAAGCTTCTTATTTATATAACTAACCATACAACAAATTTGGAAAGATTAGTAACATGATATGAATACAAAATTATAGCAAAATATAAGAAAATACCAAGAAAAACCCCACCATGATATATATAGACAATTAGATGTATTTATCCCTTCTCTGATAAATACTGAGATATAAAAAATCAGAATCGTAAATGTTTACTTTTTAGGTTAATTTTGGTTGTATTTTGTTCTTTACACTTACTGTAAATATAACAAAACTTGTAGCCTTTAATAATGTTATTTTCAAAACTTCTTCATTTGAAGGAAATATGACTGTAAATTATATTCTCCTCCAATTTTTATTTAGAATGAAGACGGGATGGGTGAAACTTATTTTAGGAGTTAGTTTAAATTTCTGTTTTCCTGGATGTGGAAGAGAGTGTTTTCTCTTGGTGTCATGAGTATATGCAGTTTGTTGCAAAAGTTCTCTTGCATAAAACTTTTTATCATTCAGTTAAAGTCAACTTTGTACATTGACAATCTTGAAAACTGAGAAGAGATTCTGAAAAATGTGATTAACACCCCCATTTTAATCACACAGGCCATTGCTAGCTATAAAAGCAAGGGTGGGGAAATATTAGGAAGCTGGTGTGCTATCTATAAGATTCAGAATGACTTAACCTTTCAGAAATTCTTATAGCTCTGATCTCTCACATTTTCTTCTTGGATTCCCCCTTCCCACAAACATTTAAAAATGCTTTGAACAGGTAGAATATGTCATTGTTAACCACCTTCCTCGGAGACTAAATTCTGGAGCACCTTAAAGGAGCCAGACTGGCGAGGTTGACTGGGCTCCTCCTGGTTGGCATGCAGCATCTTGTACACATCAGACTGGGGCACTGAGTTGGGAGATGGGTCACTGTATCACAGGGAGGAAGAGCAGATAAAGCAGTTTAACAAACATAACTTTAAAACAATAGCTCTACCAGGCATAGAATATGATTCAAGAAACAAACAAAGAAAATGTGTCTACAACTACTGAAAGACTTTCTTCCAGGTAGCATTGCTTTACATAGCCTCCTCTTATCTAAAAAGTGCTGAAAAAAAATTATCTGTGCAACTGTTACAAAAAGAAATCTACAAACTCATGAAAATATTTCCTTAATTACTGTTCTGGCTTTAAGGGCATTTGGAAATAGGCTGGTACCTATGTTTAACCTCAAAGCAGTTGCATTCCTGTAATCAGCTGCTGTATTACCAGGTGCTCTTCGGTACGGTACCCAGAAGTTCCACTTTCCCAGAAGCTGGCCTCAAGAACGTTCTTAAAATCACAGCTCCTATCTTTACATAAGGTCAGCCAAAACCTAAGCAAATGAGTCTTTTGGGAGAGTATAGTGACATGAAGATGTTCTTCCTTTTCTGAGCTGGCTCAGTCACTAGTTAATATAGTGATTATTTGGCTAAGATAATTATTATTGTTACTTATTTAACTTATGGAGATGACAAAAAAGAGTGAAGTAGATATTGCATGGTAGAAGCATTGTAAGGTGAACACTGATGAATGGAAACTCACTTTCTTATTTTAATTAGAATAGGCCATGTCTTACTTTTTGTAATGACAATTTTATGATAAAAATATAAAGTAAATTATTGTCCAAACAACAGTTGATGGTTGACTTTCCAATGACTTGTGAGCCGAAGATTTTACCAAGAATGTTTTTTGATACTTTAAACTGTGCTGAATGTTTTAAATTGGTGATAACTAACACCCTAAGGAGTTGAGAGGAAAAGCAGGCTATACACACTGGTGGGAATTAGGCTGAATGTGTGGCATTGGTAAACTTCAAACTGCTACTGGACTAATTAGAAAGGTCCAAATTTACTTCATTGAAGTTTATCTCAGTGATACATACATAAATGTCCAGTTTAAATTTCCTGTTACAACTGGCCTCCTACTGTCTGTTAAGCCTTAGGTAAATTTCCACTGGAAATAAGAACTAATTTCACAAGGAGTTAGGCTGGGGTTTTGGTTTATATGGTTTGGTTTGTTGCCCAGGGTAGCACAACTAAGAGCAGCAGCAGTTGGGCAGTGACCCTTGTTGCTTATGTTGTTTGTATCATCATCATCAATCAACAGGTTTCTCTGAGCCATCTTTAAGCTGGTGAAGAAACTATCACTTTCTTCTCTTGTCACAAGCTTTTAATGAATAGAAGGACCTTAGTTTTTATGGTTCTTACCAATGGCTAATTAAACCCTTGATTCTCTCCTCTTCACTACAATATTTCTAAACATCAACCAAGTGATAATACAATTACATACAGAAGGCAAAACAACAGACACAAAGGTGTGAGAAAACATTTCTAAATGCATACATAGTGAAAACCAATCCCACAACAAAAGGGACATTGCAAACTTGTGTAGAGAGTCAGTTCTCAAACTGGGAATGCTACAGGCATTTGTGAAATCTGACTACTCTGGGCTTAATCCATGATTTCAGAATAAAGAAAAAGCAATTTTTTCTATTATTGTTCTCTAAGTGTTGTGATTGAGGATAAATATTCATGCAGTAGAGTAACATCTGAGATAGAGCGACTCTGCAAAGGCTTAATGAACTACAGTTTTCATCAGATAGGGAAAGCTTAAATACTTCTATATAAATACAGTTTTTACGGTTAGTAACAGCCCAATTCTGCAAGATGCTGAAGAAGGCTCGTTGGTGCCAGTGATTATTGCTTATTTAAAATATTAGTAATTAGCTTTAAATTACACCATACATATTAGGAATTATTAACTTAAGTACTGTTTTAAAACAGAAAAATAAGTTAACTATTATGCAAAAGTAAAGGTAAAGCAATGTGAATGATGAATAATTGTCCCTTGAAAAAAATGAATAGTGCTTTAAAACTTTTTATTGTACAATCATTATTGTTATCCAGATACATAAGGTTCCTACCTGACTTTTAGTCATTGCAATGGATAAAATTCATAAGGCAGAGATGGATTAGTAGGCCTACAAAGTCAATTCTGGCTCTTTTTGGACAAGAGCTAGTTGTACTGAATGAGTTGTGCTGAATGGGAGTTAAATATCTAGAACACTATAAACATCTACATTTCCTAAGCTTCATAACCTGAATTTAAACAATTGCAATAAATTTGAGTTAATAATAATAATACCGATTTATTAATAATGATTATTTATTAATAAAATAAGTTATTAAAATGGTTATTAAATAAATAATTAGGATAACAGTAATGAATAGTTTTGAATTTTGGAGAGAATCAGAATCTTGATTTGGAGTGGTCAGTCAGCTAATAATCCAGGTAGTGTCATCAGTTTTTATTAATTAGCTACAAATAAAAGATTATTTCCTATGAAATATTTATCTGTAAATTCTGAAAGACTTCTTTCATACTTTGGGTTAAATGTCGTAAATTACTAATACTTTAATGAAAATATTGAATGACTTCAATGACTTAGGTTCTCTCTAACCCTTTTACCCATTTTCATAGAAACAGTGTGATATTATTAAAGCTCATGATTTTTGGTACATTCTAAATTTGTATATTCATAAATATTAAAGATACTGCTCTAATTACCTTATTACGGGTGTTTCCCCCAGAGCTGTAGAAACTTGGCCTTGCAGTGTTTCCATGATATTGTCATCTGAGTACAACTGCATAGGTGTGTTAAACTGAGCGTGTACAATCTTGACACCAGGAAGCTCCATTTCCAAGGGAATGTTAGGGGCCATCTTAGACACTGCTTTCAGCTCGGTGGGGCAGATAGAGCTAACCGTGCTAATTGAAGAGGGGGTACTGCGTCCACTGCCACAGTCAATCCCCGAAGGAGTGCTGCATCCACTGTGTTAATAGCCAGATTACAGAAGAGTGCAATGCATATCAGATTATAGAGAATAAAGACAAAAGTACAGGAATACGGTGATGTTAACAGGGCTGAAAAGCATAAATAGAACAGATACAGAAAAGCAAAAGTACAGAAAGCAGAGAAAAGCAAAAGTATGAGTATTCATTGAAAAGTATTTTCTTGTAAAAACTATCAATGCCAGTTATAAAGCAGTCCTTAAAATTCTGGCATGCCTTTTCTTTAAAGATAGTAAAAATTCTTTGATAGATTGAATAACTCAGAACATAATATTACTTTACATTTTTCATGCTAGATTTTATGGAGGCTTAATTAAGCCTCTCTAAAATTCTTTGTTCCAGGTGGGTAATTCTTAACATCTCAAAAGGGTAGCATACAAAGGTTATGCGAGTTGTCCATGTCAGTGACAGAATAAACACCTGCAGTACTGGAATCCTAGATATCATTCCAGTCCTGTACCTCACAATCAACTTAAGTCCACAGCTGAAGAGACTACTATAAGGTAGTGTAAAATAATGAATGGTACATTTCTAGATTTCCTTAAATTCTACAATAAGATATTTATTAATCTTTTAAAATTAGCTTAACAATATATTTCTTTAATATTTTTTGAACATTTCAAAGAAGAAAAGATACTAAAACAGGCATACTTTTGCATTTCTAAATTACAGTGTTCCCAGTAGAATGTAAAGTGGTCCTTCACAAGAACAATGGATATGTATTCAGAGAATTAATTTTACTTTTTTTGAAGTAGATTTAACATATAATTTATATACAATTCAAAACATGTACAGTTTAAAAAAAAATATTAATGTTGCTTGGCATTACTGAAGTAAAGTTACTGCACACCAATTTGGCATCTCTGGGAAAGGATTAGTAAAACAATGTGAACATTAAGCCCAAAATCTTTTTCCATGTCACTATTTTGAACACTTCAGTCTTTTCTCCATAGCACCTCAGAGGCTTTCTTTGTTATGGGATTTCTTTGCTGTTGCTGTGTAACAACACATAACCCAGGCTTTCCACAGTCATTGCTTAGCATTTGTTGATATTCAGAACTACAAGATAATAAATGTTTAATCTCTTTCCTCCAACCTGCATATCAGGGTTGTGGTTAGTTCTTTCCAAGCTGAATGATTCTGTGTAAACTTGGGAGAATCCCCCATTTCCCAGTTTGATAGTACAGTACTCTGCCCAGTAGCTACTCTTGAGTGGAGAAGACCCAAAATTCTTCCTTTGGTTCAGAAGGGAATTTGTGTAGGACCACTTTCTCAAAAATATAAAGGGAAATATATACTCTACCATCAAAAACATATCAAAAGAAAGCTAATTCCAGAAATGGTAGGCAAGCTTTAAAGCAAAAGTACAGTTCTGCATCATCGCCTAGCATGAGCCAGCCAAAAAATTCACCTGGGGGCAACTTACAAATTTGCAATCTTTTCTTTTAGAATAATCAAGACTACGTTTAGATCCTGCAGTAGAATAAGTTTTGTCAGTGCTGATAATGTTAGTAACTGAAAAGTAGCAGAAAAAGGCTAGCAAAAGCACAACTCTTGCTATGAGCAGCCAAAACAATGTTAAAAAGAATAAATACGTATAAATAAAATATAATCATATATTAAATATAATTTCCAGTTAGTTTTGCCAGACTAAAGTCCAAAATCGTGGCTAATGTCAAATCCATTAGCTCAAACCCACAGGCCAGAATCAGCTCTTCTTTTAGTCAAAGTCCTGTTTAGCCTCAGCTCTCTGTCCTAAAGAGATATGTACAGTCAAGGTGGCGGTTTGTTTTTTTCTGTGTTTAGCAGAGGATATGTATCGAGCCAAACTGATGAAAAAATAGGAGACAAACAGTGACAACCAAGGTTTTGTGGATGTAACACCCTCTGTCAGAGGTTCTACCATTTGTAAACACAGACTTCTCCAGTGCTAGAACACCTGACAGACCTTGCCCAGCTAAAGTTCTGAAACTTGTTGCGTCGCTGTCAGGTTAATCTTTGCAGGTTTTTTCCCTCCATCTGACGTGTTGGGAAATGGCCATTTACTTTAATACTTTAATGGAAAATATTGTGTAATTGAGGTTTTTGAATTAGGAGATTAGGCTCTTGATGCACTCATTTCAATCTCCATAAATCCGATTAGGTACCTGTGAAGGGTACCTGGTGGTCCAAAAGTCAGTTTAGGTACAGTATGCGAGTGCTGCCTGTGGTTAGAAGCCGTGCGTGTTTGCTAAGGACTGTTTTGTCATTAATCCTGTATCAGCATCAGACTGCAAGGAGAGATGGGCACCTTTTCTCCCCTGCAGCAGCATTCTACATTGATAGTTCTTGTTCTTAAAAGGACTCTATCCAACTTCTAGTCTCCTCTTTATCACTCAGGTGGTTGAAAAATTTAACACATCTCAGAAAACTGATAATCCTTATGATATTGTCCTTTGTACACAGGAATCAACTAGCATCCTGTTTTTCTGGTCTAGTTTGTCAGACTTAAATTAGTATAATTGAAATGCAGGCATTTTACACTTTCAGAATGAAATGCAGAACACTAAGTCCACTGGTAAAAACTGCTACTGCTAGAAAGGATAAGGGTAGCATCACAGTATATTGCATCACTCAGGCGCTTTCGAGTTTCCTTGTGTTTTTAGCCACAGAGTTTGCCTTGTTTTTTCCCCCTCTGTATTTAATGTAAATAATAGTGAGGCATTTCATCACCAGTTATGATAAAGGAATATTACACTAAAATGATGGATGTAAATATATAAGCTTTTCTGCATTTTGGAGCTTTACATGTCTGTGGCATCAGATAGTTCTATTTTAGCTCTGCATTAGGCTGCCTTCTGAATAGAGGTCTGCTGGAAAGGAAACTTAAAATCTCTGGATGGCCTAAATGATAACTTATACAGCTAGCTATCTTTTATTTAGCAAGTTAACAAATTACATGTATTTGCATTTGGACGGAAGAGTGCCATAGATTTATAAATGTACAATATCTGGTGCTACGCTGTAAACTGAATCAGGTTTGTGAATACAGTTACTTCAGACTCATGTCACTATAACAAAGATGGGAGTGTGGACCTGCTTTCTTTTGGAAACAGAAATTTGAATTTCAAGCCTGATCTCTGCAAGTCAAGCATTTCATGTTTTTTTTAGATTTCAGTGTTAGGCTATGTAATGCTATCAGTAAATTTCAAATGCATCAGTATGCTTTATTAATGTGAATGGTGAGTATCCATTAAAAAATAACAACACCATGCATCCAAATACAGCACAGCACTCAGAGTTTATAACAACCTGCTTCGGCCTGAGACTATGAAAGGTTTGGGCCGAATATTATGCTTGTGTTCAAAGTAGTTCATATCCTGTAAAGAAAAGAGGGTTAAAATAACTTACTTTGGCCTGGAAATGCTTATTTCTAGTTTAAAAGTAGCTAACAAGGTTTTAAAATTATAACCATGTTTAGTTTGTACATTCCTGGTAGTCAAAATACAATCATTTAGTGTTCAGAAACATTCAGAGTGAAGTGCAGTTATAGGAGAGAAGGATAGTAGGTAGTGTTGCAGCCCAACTTAGAGGGCAAATTTTAGCTACCTGCAGCGTTGCTACTACAGAGCTGAATGGATAGTTTTCTGTGTTGGTAAAAATTGCTTTATTCATCAACCATTTTGTTGGATAATCAATAAACTCCTGATTATCAGAAAAAACAGCAAGAGCTGGACTTTTTAATTGAAAACAGAACGTATCGTGATATACCACAAATGACCATGTATTGTAAGCAAATACCAGTACTCACTTTTGAGATGAGTTAGGAATGAGACCCCTCAGTTGTCCATGAAGCGCATCTTGAATATTGCCAGATGAATACAGCCCAATTGGAGAATTATAGGAGGAGCTCACTACCTGTCTTTTGTCATCAATATTTGCTGCTGCAACAAAAGGCTGGGCCCTTCTGTTGTGAGCTGTACCAATAGGCTTGAATTCCTGTACATGATAGGCAGACAAAATACACAAAGCTACAATGCACACCAAAGCTAGTAATGAGTAAAACTGACAACATCAGTATTGTTAATCTCTGCATTTTTTACTTTTGCAACTTTGTTATTTTTTCACTGGTGCAAGCACACTATATTTTCCCATGAATTTTCTATATGCTACTTAAGTCATACACATTCAGAGACTATTATTTTCCTGCCTCAGGGCAAATGTAAGGCATTCCACATTTGTGAATAGTGTGCAACTTTAAGAAGAAATGGGAGGAATGAATATTATAGTAACCTGTTGTATTGTTCTCTAGATTTTGCACTGTTTACATTCTTCTTTTAGAAACATTTGATGTATAGTTAGCTTAATTGCTTTGCTTGAATGCTAATCTCTGGCTTCTGCTTTTTTGTCACATACTGATGGAGGGACTGGCAAAAGTATGGAGATTTTATTGTAAATGTTTTGCCTAGAAAACACATAACAGAAAACACACTTCTTTTAACTGAAATAGCCTTGAATGTACATCAGATTGAGGACATTATTCTGAACCGATTCATACTTTAAAGCATACCTGTGCATCAAAAATTGTCATGCTGTATAATTCAAAGAATGTGAAATCATCATAAATAAGTAAAACCCAGACTTGGGTAAATTGGAAATCATTCTGCCTATGCCTGTTTATTTCTGGAATATGATTTTGCTTATTGTTGGCCCAGATAATTTCCTTCAGTTGTGGAATTCATAGGGATAAGATCTGGAAACAAAATCTCTGATGACCTTTCACCTTTCAGATAACTTACAATGTTATTTTGTAGTGATTGGCCAGGAATGATAAAGACTTGACTTTGTGAAAATTCACTTATTTGTATTGTGCATGTTTAGTGTGGTCTCCTTTGACTCCCTGTCAGCTCAGGTCCATCCCTCATCCACAGAAATACAGAATCTGGGAAAAACAGTGCTGTCATCTGCTGAGATTTTTTGTTTTGTTTTGTTTTTCCTTTTCCTTCTGCACTAATGGGTGAAGAATGTTTCCTGCTGTTGTCCATCACCTTTTCCTAATGTCCTGCAGTGCTCTTTGGAAGCAGGTGCTGTGAGAGCACTTGAACTTCCATCCATATGGAATGAAAAGCTCTTGTTCCTAACAAACAGGTTTCTACAGTCTGAATTGGTCTTTCTATTTAGAGACTGGCGCTTGCAATGTTAAGATAGCACAGGTCATTAATACTTTGATTTTCATAGAAATCTTTGCCTGTTCTCTGATTTGGCTGTGGTTTTGAGTGTGATAGGTGTACTGGGAACACATCTACAATACTATGAACCATTTCTGTGTTTATGTTGCTATCCCATTGTGTCATATGACCTGTAGACCATCTAAGTTCTGATACCGCTGAATGAGATTTGTTTCAAATTGTTGAAGCCTGTATCTTAGGTACCAGAGTTTTTAGCTTAATCACTGTGTACAGTTTATGTTGCCTGGTATTTGCTATCACATATTTTTAATGGTGACACACCCAACATCTTCAGCCTTAAAATTATTCATGTGCAGTTGTGGTCTTTCAGTAACATCTTGCAAGCTGTACAAACTAGACTCCTTATACTGCTAAATAAAATAAACAAAATGGGGTTTTTAATGCAGAAATGTCTTTTTAAATTACCTTAGCCTTTAGGAATGCTAGAAAAATTTCCAGTTAGAACAAATACAACCTATTACCAAAACCCAAAATAGATTTTTGAATACTTAAATCCACAGAATAAATCAGGATAATAAGTGCAGACTGGATAAGCATGGACACATTTTTGACACTTGTAGGTTTTTGCTCATTCCTCAGAGCATTATTTCCTTTCTCAGACAATATCAAGTCTCTGTTCAAAGTTTTGGTGAATAATTTTAAAAAATTATGAAAACTTGAATGTGAATGAGCCCCTTTGTTTTCATTTAAAACAACAGTTTCAGAAATATAGTTAGGACCAGACCTAAAGAAAAGTCATGGTTATATAGAATGTGCAACCAGAAAATGCAAACAGTAAAAAGCAGTTTTATTAAATGAGAATGTTTAGCAACATTGCACTGTAAGAGGCTACTGAAAGCGGCAATCAGATAAATCAGCACAAATATTTTGCTTGTTTCTGTCCGATAGAACTGGGTTGCAATTAACAAAATGTATTAGTAAATGGAAATAGTCTATGAGTCTACTTAATGAAAGATATTAATGTCAAAGTATTTAAAATCGGTTTGAATCCATGTATGATACAAAACAAACAAAAACCACCATGAACATTGTAATTTCATCCCCTTTTTTTATTTGTTGTTGACAAATGAACAGCACAGAAGACATGTGGAGCCATAATAGCATGTTTACAGTATAACAGTTGTGAAACAAATATTTGCAGTTAGTTAGACTTAAATTCTGTTTTCTTTTTAACTCATCTATTCATATAAAATATCAGTAACAGTACATACAGCAGCAAAAATAGTCCAGCTCTTGTGTTTATTGGAGCTCATTGAATCTGTGAAAAGTCCTCCTTTAGTTCAAAAGCTAAATGAGACCTGGAAGTTGTTGAAATTCCTAATCAGGAATATTAGAGTATTTCATTTCTTATTTTTTTTTCTAGCTGACTGATGTCCTTTTTGCAGGGCTAACTATGTTTTGCATTAATATAGGTATTAGGAATAGAATGAATGTAGCCCCCAAAGTATCGAAATACATCCAGTGACCAACCATATGATGGCATTCCTTGGGGATAATTGCTGTGGCTGTACACAGATGTTTACATTTTGGAGGTATCATGTGATTAAAAATCTTTATCTCTGAATGCTGTTATGGAAGAGAGGGTAGGTGCTCAAAACTAGAGTAGCACGATTACATTGTTTCAAACTTGATTATAAGTGGTAATAGACTATAAACTTACTTTTTAGAATAGTGGGTTGGGTTTTTTTTTAATATTTTTATATTTATTTATTAGTATAGTATATTTATATGTCCCAGGAATGTATAATATCTTTCATGGCCAAAATCTGGTCATACTGAACAAAATCTTCAAAAGCAAAGATAGAAGCAAAAAAGAAAAGCCCAAATAAAAACAATTCAAGAAATTGTGGTACTAGAAACAAATTCTTCTTATATGAGGTTAAACGGATTGTAACTGAGAAAAAATTTACGGGTCATAGTATTGTTTTACATTGACAATACAGCAGAAAGGATTTAAAAATAGTTTTATAAGATACAGTTTGACATTTAGATTGTTTTATTTTCTTTTCCTAATTATATTTTTTGAGAACCTTATGTTCTAAATTGCTTTTATACAGAATACAATGTGATTGTATTCATAATACTTCAGGTAGTCTATTGTTTCCTAGTGTTTATCCATCACGCTATAGGTTGCTCCAGGCTAACAAAATTAGGTGGCTGTTTTTTATGTGGGAACGTGTAGCTTTCAAGGGTGGCTCTCAGTCAGCCACTTATTGCTGTAAGTTATTTACTAGAATTGTTGCCTCAGTTTCTTCTTCCTAGAGGAAGAAATAGCGAGAGCTTTCACTGTGCTATGACAATTGCCTGTATCAGTCTCCAAATGACTCTTTGGGGATGCTCAGCCTACAGTTTGCCACAGTTTGCCACAGTGTAAAGGTTCCTCGTTCCATAGCTACAAGTAGGCACAGTATTTAGTTGTTTATCAGTTTTCATCTCCAAGCATTTGTAGAATAATTTTTCTTCAATTAAGCTAAAGGAAACATTCTTTGGACAAATATTTGACCAAATTGCTGAACAATTTAAAATATGTTTTACTTTCATTTATAACTATGTTTTATTAGCTTGCAAATAGAAATGAGGTACTAAGACAACTGTGTAAGTCTGCATCTATTATTGTTATTTAGATGGCTTATAATGTGTTTTAAATTATTGACTTCCCTTTGTGAAATTTTCTTAGTGAACTTTAAAATGTCTATCTGTCAAGAGTGAAAAAAATCTTACTACACTTATAACCTCTATGACCTTTTGAGTAATTTTAATTATATAAAAGGAGGAAATGCTTTTTATAGAACTCAATGATTTTCTATTTCTGCACAGCAGTCAACGTGTACAATACTTTTGGATAACAGTGTTTACATTTGAAGGAGTACTATACTGCTTTTGGATTTTTCTCCATTCGTCTGGGCTTCAATGCCTTTATTTATTGTTGGACTTCAGCAAACTCTAATATGACCTAAACAGCACAGGTTATAGTTATGCAATTATTTGTCACTGATGTGAAAGAAACTTTGATATTGTGCTGTTTTCACTACTGGTATACACACTGCTGGGTTTCGTGTGTTGTGACGAAATACACAGTAAAATTTAATTTAAAATTTCAGCAACTGTAGGAAAAAGGGCTATTTTTTTTTCCCACTGGTAGATCAGAGTGATGGATATTGTTGGATGGAATAATTTAATCTAAAATGTAAATCATTCCTAGAATCATTTAGCATATTTGTTTACAAGCATTGATACTTTTCTGGGGCCTATTACTTATTACATATACTCAGTACTCCTGATTTTCCTAGGAAGAAAAATGGGACACATACTAAATTGAAGAGGTTGGCTATTTAATCTAAGAGAAACATTTTTTCTGATTGCCCAACAGAGCCTGCTTTTCAGTAGTCTGCCAAATAGCACTTAGTGAAATCTTGTGATTTATTTTTAAGTAACTTGTCTTTTTAGGAAGGCAGCTTTCATGCAAAGGGATTACTCTCCTGTCATACATGCCTACATGGTTTTCTCTATAGCTTTTTTAGTGAATTTGTTCCATTTCTATTTATTTTATGTATATCCCAGCTATTCCACAAAAATATGCATTTAAAATAGTTTTGTTTCTTCACTATACTATCTCGTACTGCTAAGGGGCTATGTTATTTCTGATGAAGTTTGCTGTATCATTTAATGCAACTTTTTAGATGGAAAGAACAACGAACTGTAACACTGAAATGCCATATTCATGTTTGGGAGTGTCTCCGTGAAAACAGATTTGGTGGAAATATTTATTGCACAGGGTTTACTGAAATGGAATCTGCACTTACATTTTTCTAGGATAGCACAGAATAAGTACTTTGACATACTCGCTTTGATCCTGGAAGGCCAGGATCAGCAGAATGCTCTTCCCTCCCCCTCTTGAGAGAACAGCACATGTTTGTGTAGGTTAAAGAGGAATGACAAAGGAATAAAGCACTAGTTGTAGACAGTAGCTAGCTAATTAACTATTAGCAATACAGAGATTTCAGCTCACAGCTTTGCACAAGGGACTGGGTACGAGTTTGGAGAGGAGGATTTTAATTGTTCGGATTTGCTTTGCTCATATACAAGGATGAAGACTTTGCTGGCCAGAAGTGGTGAATGGTTTGCTTATTGATGAGTACATGGGTTTTGTACCAATTTGTACCTTTCAGTTCTGTGGTAGAGTATAAAAATGTATGGAAGTAAAGAGAGCCATTATTAATGGATGTCTCTATTTAACTGACTGTTACATCACAACGACTTTTGTGATGCAATGACTGTATTGCTTTGGTACTTGACATTTATTCCTGATTGAAGAACTTCCTTATATGATGAGGAATCTCTAAAAGAGTTAAAGCAACTTCAACCATATGAGAATAAAAGGAGATATTTTCTTTCCATAATAAAGCTATGGTGATATGTAAAGTTTTAAAGAAAAACAAGAATGTGTTGTAACTTGTTAATGCTTTCTTTCATTTATAGCTGAAAAATCAAAAATAGCCAGTCAGATAAAACGATGTTCATACATATCATAATCGTGATGGCTTGTATTAGCTTAAACTGACAGATAACGGATGAAGTGCTATTCAAAGAATTTTAATCACCACAAGGGAGATCATTTAGAGTGTAAAAAGGCAAATGTAAATAGTCAGATAACTTTTAAGAATTCATACCTGTGGTTCAGCTTCCAAATTTATCTTGAAGGGATGTGCTTTGCCATCTTCTGAAACTTGTGGGGACCATAATTTAGTTCCTGCCCTGGAAAGAAAGGAAAGCAGTATTTAAATAACTTGAATTCCTATAGAGTTGTATATGTCCCTGTAAAATATAATACAGCCTGAAAATTTGGAGTTTGTTCTATGCTTTTTTAATGTTTTGACATAAAAATACTTCAATGATATATAATGTGTGCTATATGTAAACAATATATAAAAAGTGTATTTACTTTTTAAAAAATGTACGTATACTCTAAACAACAGGAAATAATTTGTTAGTAGTTACCAAATGCAAAGGCAAAGGGAAATTAGTGCCTTTCTGACCTGAGCTGACTAAACTCTTAACAGTTTTGGGTTTTTAATGGTTAATGGACTGTTGGGTCCTCAGAATATTTTGAACAAATGACTGAATATATTACTAATAATCATAAACCAGAAATATTGATTTCTTTTTTTGGACCACAATACCCATGCAAAGCCTGCTTTTCAACAGATGAGGAGTGCAATCTAGGTATGCAAAATACACGTGGAATTGTAAATAGAAGTTGCACAGATGATCCTTTCAGTCACTGAAGCAGAGGTAGCAAACATTCAAATACCAGTTACAATGCTGTCTTCAATGGCAAAAGGAAATTTGGCAGCTAATTTTAAAATAGTGTAATATTAATGTTAAACATGAATCTAGTACTGTTTGTTATGTAAATACAAATGTTTAGCATTTAAAATATGCATATATTTCATAGGCACAATTATACTTACCATATTTTGAGAATTACTTCCTAAGAAAGTTGCTAAATGGCATATATCAATCTGTAACAGGACTTGGAATTAACTGCAGGAATTTTTTAACTGTGGTATGTGCTCTAGTAATTAGGCAATGCTCCTTCCAGAAAAACCCAAACAACTTCAAAAACAACCTTCTGTATTTGGAAAGGAATATTGTGGTCAGCTGTGCCTCTTTGAGGGTCTCAGGTCAATCAGAGCTGTCTGATTCTTGGAAACAGGTGAGAGAGTGCACTAGGTGATCCTTTTTAAAGGCGGAGCAAACTTAGTTAGGAGATGGGAAGATGCAGGATGTTTCTTCTGGTTGCTTTACTTGAGAGAAATGAATGAAAGAAGTTTCTGAACTCCTGCAATTTAGGTAAGAGAAGTTTGTTGGGTTTTTTTAATTTGTTTTGTTTTTAACGTTCCTTTGAGAATCTTGTATTTGGTTTAATACATTGTGAACAAAGAGTTTGGCTTTGAACCTATGAAGGTCTGACATGATGTTGTTTTCCTTAACTACGAGGATATACTAATAGCTTTGTCTGTGCAGGAGGCAATGGTGAGCACCTGTGACTGAGGGAGTGTTAGAGCAGAGAGGTAACCGAACAAGTGACAGCTAGCGAAGAGTTGTATTGCTTCCCAAAAATTTGAAGAACTGTTTGTTTACTGACAGCAAACATAGGACTTGTGGAGTCATCAGAGGTAGTAGGTGGTATGGTTCACAGGTCAATAAATGTGATGGGTGGCCTAAGGGAAACTATTCTTATGCCCATGAAGACATGTTCTGGGGAGTCTTGCCTGATCTGGAGTTGGTGAGGTAGGTCTGGGTGCTTGTAATTTTAAAGGTTTTGTGAAATTCTTAAAACTGTTTAAAATAGTTACATTATATAATGGTTGTATTAAATAATCGGTTGGGTAGCATCATCTTTCAGAAGTAAGTGGACATGTACATGTACCTCTCTATTTTCAAGCAAAGCTGGTGTGCAGCTGCTTTAATTCTCTCCTGGGCATCGTTGTGTGTCATGTTCTCTGTGCTTAGACCATCGATAGCTACAATAACATCACCAGGGCACAGGTTAGCAGCTGAAGCCTTGCTTCCAGGTGTAATCTGAAAAAAAACCAAAAATGTAACTTCTTAAGCATGCATACCTGAAAATTGATAGACAAAATAAACTTCATCATGCTTCCCTATTTCCTGTTGCGGGGGAGGGAGGGAGTGGGCCTATAAACAACTATATGATTGCTTACAAAAAAAAGTGAGTTCTTAATTCTGGCGGACCCTCTGTTGTTCTATTGTCAGATCACCATATAACTGTTTTATTCATCGTAACTTCAAATTAGATGGAAGTTATTTTCATACCCGTGTACTAAATAGCTTCCACTCTGATTTCTGTAGTGACTGTGACTTGTCTTTGAATCTTCTGTTTCAACTGCCATTGTGTAATTTGCTTGGAAAAAAGTTAAGTTTTTCCCCTTACAACTCTAGGCAATAGCAGGAGAATAGAACTATTAAGGAATTGTGCTACTGAGTGTTCATGTGCATGATGTGCCAGTGACTGGATAATATAGAAAGACACTTCTGGTCTTACCACAGTTAAGGACAAATACAGCAGTTAATGTGTTTTCTGCTAACCTGGCCACTCGTGTTGCTAAGTAATCATAAATATGCTAATAATACTGAAATGACATTTTTCTCTTTATTCGTGCCTAATTCAGACCCTGAACTTCTTAAAGTGCTTAACTTTAAGTCCTGTTGCATTTGAATAACAGTGGCCCTGATCCTTCAAGATGATTTGTGTTGTGCAATTCATACCTCAAAGAAATGTGCCTACATCAGTGACATTCATAGAAATAGCTCTAAGCTTGTCTTTCTATGCTTGGTTTTTGTTTGGTTTGGGTTGGGGTTTTTTTGGGGTTTTTTTGTCTTGTTGATAATCTTCCACATCATGGTTAAAATAATCAAAATGCAACTTAAAAAATTCCTTAAGTAACTATCATAGAGAGGTTATGACCTTAGATGCTGCTAAAACCTGTTCTAGAATTGCAGGCCTTTATTTGCAAACAGGTGACCCCCTCATACCACCATACCATTTACACAGGTCTTTGGTCACTGAGTGGCATTTAGGTCCCTTAGGTGTGTATTGCCATTTTAGGTGACCTTTGATAACCAGGACAGCAACATGAAATTGATGGATGTAGTACATAAGCTTCTGGAATTCAGCTTTTCTGGAACAGCAGAACAGAGGGGACAGGTTGATTCATCTAAAATAACACTAGGTACTTATTTTTAGGTAAATGAATCCCAGTGTGAAGGACAAAAATATCAATAGACTCTTACTTCCAAGAGCAGTTCTCTAATCTGTGCCATGTATGAAGTAAAAAAGCTATTGGAGAGAATTTATCTTACCATGGATTTTACTGTAGCCAAAACAAGTGTTATCTCAATTATTGAAAGTAATTAAGTGTTATGGAGGACTTGAAAGCATGCTATGGAGACATTCTTCAATTCTGGTGTTTCCCAGCAGAGGAAGAGAGTAAGCTGCCCAGTGTACCTCCAATATGTTCTGAACCCTGGATGTGGTGAACCTGGCAGACTTGTTGCCTCTCAAGGTGACAGTACTAACGGTCAGCATAAAAGTCAAATAGAAATATGCTTTTTGATATTTGTTGCACTGTTAGTATTGCCACAATGGCAAAAATCAGGCAAATAGTCATTCTCTCCTCTTTCCAGCTGTCCATCTCTGTTAGGTGGGTCTGAATGCTCAAAGAACTTTGGGTTTGTTTTGTGGGGTTTTTTTCTGCATTTGAGCATGTAAACTTATTTTTTATTTCACTGTAACATACTGCAACACATGTGCTATTATCAAGTCAGGCAAACTTTCCAAGTGGGTACTTGTGGCCGGTTGGAGGCTTTTATCCCCTCACCCTCCAAAAGAATGGACTCATGACTGTGAACTTCAAGTGTTAAGGTGCCTCAATAATCTGTTTGAGTATGAATTGACAAAGTTGCTCATAAATTCTAAGTCTGGAGTCTCCAAAATCATCTGTTTCTCAAACTTCAACAGCTGTAAGTGTAAATGAACTACACTGAGACCACTTAAATTATTGTAATAAGACAGGGGTAGCTGTATGATAATACTTCTCCCTTTAACCTGGAATGGTTCCTGACTTCTTTTAGCATGTTGTGGACATGAGTGGAATGACAAACTGCAGCAGAAGTCCTAGTGTTTGAGTGTGACTGTTGATGCTCTAATACCCAAAATGGGCAAAACCAGCCATTCTTGGTTCCCTCTCAAGAGTAAGCTTGCTTGAGTAACCCTTATATAGGTTACTTGGTAGATTATGCTTTTTATGTGTCATAGCAGATGATTTGTTGTATCTGTGGCATACCTCAGCAATGTACTGAGATAATGATCCTGCCTTATTAAGTAGCATATCCGTCTAGCATGGTACATTCCCCTGCAGCTGTGCTGCTAGCAGGACCTAACCTACTCTGTTGCTGGTAATAACGTGCAATCCCTTGGATTTTCCTTACATATTGTCAACAGCTGCAGTGATACTACTATATGGTTGGATGGGGTTACCATGGTTTGGTGGGAGCAAGGAGGGAAAGGGGTACGGGTCTGTATTTCCTACTCTTTAGCTGAATTGATTATTGTCAGGCTTCTGGGATGTGCCTGTTGGGCCTTAATGCCTTTATGGGAGTGCTGAGCTCTACTTGCTCAGGCCTTCTGGCGTGCAGAACTACCTGCCCTTGTATAATCCTTTTACTTACCTGCTCTTCCTGGGTTTGATGGAAAGAGGTAGAGATCTGCTGCTAGGATGGGATAGGAGAATATGGCTGGGTGCCAGCTCTTCTCCCCCCTCAGTACTTCAGGGGGGAATCCTGGCTGTTGCTTGTGGGGTAGGGGAGCAGACAAAAGTAGTAAAGCCCACATTTTATAGAGAGGGACCAGGTTGTGCATTGCAAGATCAGACCGTATCATGGGTATAATACTGATATTCAGACAATCATAGAATAGTTTGGGTTGAAAGAGACCTTTAAAGGTCATCTAGTCCAACCACCCTGCAATCAGCAGGGACATCTTCAACTAGACCAGAGGTCACGCAGAGCCCCATCCAACCTGACCTGGAATGTTTCCAGGGATGGGGCATCTACCACCTCTTGGGGCAACCTGTGCCAGTGTTTCACCACCCTCATTGTCAAAAATTGCTTCCTTAGATCTAGTCTGAATCTACACTCTTTTAGTTTAAAACCGTTACCCCTTGTCCTATCACTACAGGCCCTGCTAACAATTTTGTCCCCATTTTTCTTAAGTCTCCTTTAAGTACTGGACGGATTCAATAAGGTCTCCCTAGAGCCTTCTCTTCTCCAGGTTGAACAACCCCAACTCTCTGTCTTTCCTTACAGGAGAGGTGCTCCATCCATGCGATCATTTTGTGGCTCTCCTCTGGACCCTCTCCAACAGGCCTATGTCTTTCCTGTGCTGAAGGCTCCAGAGCTGGACGCAGTACTCCAGGTGGAGTCTCCCCAGAGGGGAGTAGAGGGGCAGAGTCACCTCCCTTGACCTGCTGGCCATGCTGCTTTCAATGTAGCCCAGGATACAGTTGGCCGCCTGTGCTGCGGGTGCACATTACCGGCTCATGTCCAGCTTTTCATCCACCAGGACCCCCAAGGTCTTCTCAGCAGGGATGCTCTCAATCCCTTCATTCCCCAGCCTGCATGGATACAGGGGGTTGCCCCAACCCAGGTGCAGGACCGTTGTTGAACCTCATGAGGTTCACATGGGCCCATTCCTCAAGCTTGTCTGGGTCCCTCTGGATGGCATTTTGTTGGTTCTGACCCTAATAGAATCTGAACATGTCTATTTTTAGTCCCCTCCTTTTCTTCCTGCCCTCCCAGTGATCATGATCTGTGGTTTTTACATTTGCTTGAAACAGTCAAGAGAATTGCCTTGCTTGAGGAAATCGCAGATGGATTTTTAAGATGACACCTGTTCTTTGGACAGGTGGATGGTGATCTCCTATGTTGTTTCTCTTGACAAGTCCTGATAAAAGCTTTCCCTTGTTGAACAAGGATTATAGCCAATCCAACTTAACAGCTGTCCAATCATTTTATTCAAAATGTGTTTTAAAAATAATTTCTATGTATTGTTTTAATGGCTAATAATTTTTTTCTTGTTAGGACAGTTGAGCCAAATGTGAATGTTTTGCTTCACAAAAGGAATACCTAGGGCCCCAAAAGTGAGACATATGAATCTTGCGAAATATTCACTACTTCTTAAGGGGTACTACATGAATACTTATTTAGGGACTCTTCTAAATGTATGCTGTGACAACAAAAGTAGTACTTTTAAACAAATCTACCATTAATATTCTTGAACTTGAGCTAAGCAAACGTAAACATGTCCTTCTTCCCTATATATCTTTTATTTCATAGCTCTACTTGAAATGTGATTTTGAGCATTTCTGTAGTATGCTAGAAACCAATGGCTTATGTCTGGTGAGGCATTTGGTAGGTATAAGTCTATTGCAAAATCTTCTATTCTTTAGAAAGTTACATTTACAGTAACATCCTTCGTTATTGCAGTTTTAAACTCCATTGCACTTAATCTAAACACACAGAAAATACAAACCAGACACCGCTAAAATACTTTTCATTAGAGATAATGGAAACTATTTTTCTTTTGGAAGCCCATAAAAGGCAATGAAGGCCCCAAAGCCTCCAGAGATTTTTTTTTTCTTTTTTATTCAATGTTTTTGTCTCCTGCTTCTCCAAAGGTTCTGCTGTGTCCTGTGAGTATTTGTTATAAAGCTACATAAACAAAAATAATAGCATTGTGGTTTACTTCTGTTTAAAATAAGCATAAAAGACTTTACTTATATGAATCTGGAATAAGTGATTAAATTATTAATTTTACTAGTATAATACATGAAAGGTTGTTCCTTAAACTTTCTATAGTCTCTTGTTTAGAAGCATATTTACTGCAAGGCATCACCAGTGCTATCCATCCTTCAAGGCTCTTGACATTTATTTAATACCATGCACAGTGTGTATATTGAGTCATTGTGCAGGCCTTTTTAGAAAAAAAAAAAGGCAGTCAGTGTGTCTGAAGTTCTCAAAAGCAGCAAAAGTAGGAGAACTAATTCTAGTTGGATGTGCATTGAACGCAACTTTCAAAATGTACAAATTATCAAAATACATATCCTGTCTTTTGAGTAGATCTATGTCGGCAGATGCAGGGCAGCCGACTGTTTTATATGCTGCATTCATCGAGTCATTGGTTTCATAAATTGCAAGTAATAGCTCAAAATCCATGAAAAAATGAAAGGCTTGGATTCTTGCCCTTTATTAGGGGGGTAAGGTAAATTGTCTGTTTCTAAATATGTCAGAAAACACCAAAGAACTATCTCCTTCAAGTTTGGGACTGGATAACTTTCTAATAATTCACTCACTTAACATTAATGAAAGTGAAAACCTTCACATATGTAAAAACAGGTGCTGTTGCCTTTGCTGGCAATAATCAGAACTTGATTTAATTAAATGAGAGTCAGATTAATCTTGTAAAGTTGTCACGGAGTTTGCAAAGCACAGACTTCCAGACGTGAGGAGCTGCTGCCAAGTAGTCTCTCCCCCCGTGATCACAGAGGCTAGTCGTGAAAATGATAGAAGTGGGGTCTGGCCTTTAGTAGGCTTGAAACTAATTTTCTCATCTGAATGCCTGGGGAAATCATGCCAGAGTCTTTCTGCCACCACAGCACTTAAATTCAGTTTTTGAGGCACAACTAGAAATGCAGTTAAAGTCTCTTAGGGCAATAAAGCAATCCCAGAAATGTCACACAAAACTTGTAAAAACTGTTAGCATTCAGCTGGCTCTCCTCGGAACTAGCAGCTACTTGCTAATCTACTCACAGCTTCATCGGCGTGTCTGAGCTCTGTAAAAGGAAAGAGCAGAAACCTGCAATAACTAATAAATGTAATAAATAGAAAGGAAAATGAAAGAGTACATACCCTGGTTATGATTAAGGGTTGGTTAAAATCTGTTCCTCCTGAAAGCCTGAATCCCCAGGGTGCCGGTCCTTGGAGAATAACGTTTTGTGGCATTCTGGATGTGGTTTTTTTTCTTGGTTGCTGTTCTTTTTTCCTCAGGTGTGTGTGAGGAGCCAAGCTGTAGGAGGATGGGTGCTGTCAGTAGAGCACCTGCTGGACAGGGCAGCTGACCTTATAAACCTCTTAGGAAGCTGTACTCATCCCGCAGCGGCGGGCGCTGCACTTTATCCGTGCTCTTTGGCTGACGTCAGCCGGTCTCTCAGCTCCCCACCCACAGAGGGGAGTATCAAACTCAGACAAATAAAGCCCAAATGCTGGAAAGCTTACAACAAATACATCAGCTTTATCTGCTGCTTCAGCGTCCCCCTCAGCCTGACAACCAGTAAGCTTCAGGATGCAGCGTCCTTCTGGTTCCTTAAAGCAACCCCGTCGCTCATTTGGTATCTTGCTGATTACATTGCTGGTGCTTGTTTCAACTATGCAATGCACTGCTCTGACTTTGTACATGATTCTGTTTCATGTAAGCAGAAATACTGTTAAGGAGATTTCCCTCTCAAGCTCTTGTTTTGCATCTTGTCTTACTTGTAATGTTATAGTTTATTGCACTACAAAGTCCTTCCAACCCTTCAGCTGAGTTTTTTGGCTACAGTCACTTGAGACCATGGCATGCACCAACTCTGACAGCTTGAAAAATCCGGACTGATGTCATGCATATTTCTCATACTGAGGAAGAGAAATGCAGTACTAGTTGATAATGTCTCTTCTCTTTGTAGAAAGCTTAGTTTAAGGTAGTCGCAGATACCTTCTGTTGGTTGTTGGTGTTAGTGAATAAATACTTTGCATTCCTTTTCATTTTCTTGCATCGGCTTGATCAGCTTTATTCTGACTTCTGTTTCCCATATATTTTCTTCAAAAAAGAGAGGGAGAATTTTTCGGTCATGGTGTATGTGTTCATTCACTTTCTTATGTTGTTTCAGATTTCTCTTTATATGTGATATTAGCAAAGTGCATATGTGCATGGGTAATGTTCTTCAAGCATTTCTTTGCCCAGTTTGGCATATTCTAGGATGGTATCTGCAGCTCTCATCAGGCCAGATTTTTTTAAAATTTTATTTTCAATCCCCCCATCCCGCCCCCCCCCCCATGAGTCAACAGCAAGTCAGTGAGAGCTTGGAAGGACTAAAAACTCATGAAGATATATATATTTTTGGCCGTAATAACCCGCTTTTGTTCTTTCCATATGCTTTCCTTTCTTACTATTTGTAGCCTGCTTAGAAGAGTCTCTGATGAACAATAGTGAGCAGTGAGTGAGACAGAAGAATAAAATGCAGATTCGTGCCATTCATAGAATTTCTGATATGGGGAATTTGTTGATCTGTAGATTTCAGTATGAAATTGGCTTTGACTTCTTAACTCTGACTTGATGAATGTCCTTATCTGTGTCTGCTGCTAGTGTCTATATAATTGAAGTTCTTCTCAGTAAGATATCCTGAGTTTTGGTAGGAGTTGTGGTGTTTTTAGTGGTGTAGGATTTCCTTGTTAGTGCTGTGAAGGTTAGCCTCAGAATTTTTTCTGTTTGACTGTCCTTTTATATATTTGTGGCTTGCTAGTAGATAGTAGTGTTCATCATGAGTTTTGTATTTGTGTTCTTGTCCAGAATATTTCAAAGACCTTCTCTATCATTAGAGTATATTTGACCTCCTGATTGGAATAAAATAAATGGTAATAACTGTTTCAAATAAAACTGTCAGAAAACACATCTGTCTCACAAAGAGCTTGCAGTGTGACTGTTGTCATGAGCTTGTGGGGGCACAGCTTATATTAGGGGTGTGAAGGAAGATAGGCACATTTAAAGAAATAAGGCAAGGCAGATCTGTAGTTCATGGGGTATATCAATCTTGGTAGCTTAAATATTTTGTATGTTTTGAAGCTGAGAAAACCCCTCTTAGTGCTTGTGAGCTGTGTATATACTCTATATTCTGACATGTTTTGAGGTTGATTGAATATATGCCTTCAATATATTGACGCTCTATGTGGTTCATCCTGCTGGATTACATTGTGTGTTCAAGGCCAGAATTTATCATTAGGTAGTACTTCTTCAGTTTCTTACCTTTTCTCCCTGATACCTGTTTTGTGAAAACACTCTTGTGTTTGGTACTCCCTTCCTCCCTGCCCCTCCTTTCCTAGTGAGTCCTGTGATGTCTTTTGATTTGTAGCTGGGAACACATAGTATACTTGATGTACTCATTTAAAGAGTTCTTTCTTGTGCAACTTGCATTTTCTTTTTCATTGAGTACCGGCAATCTCAAATATTGAATCCTTGAGTGCACTTCAATAGCAAAAGATTTAGAAATGTAAGAACTTCTGTATCGGGTCAAACCCATGATCAGACTCTGAGTTTCCAGTGTCAAAAATCAGATACTTGTATAATATCTTGCTCGCTTGAGAGGGCTCTTCAAAATTCCTGATAGTAAGTTATTGGCTTATATCTTAATATGTAGGCTTACATTTATTTTAGAAATCCTGTTAATTTCAAATCCTGCTAAGTGTTTTGACTGCTGGTGAAGGAACAATGGGGTGATCATTTAGGGACAGTTGTTAGTTGGTGAAAATAATTTGGGATTGCTTAACTGTCTGTAAAGTTTGTTCATGTCTTTTTATTATACTGTGATCTGCTCATGTGTCCATGATACATGTCGTGGGGGGCAGGCTTAACCTTTTTCTAGGCAGATGATTGCTCTTAATTTCAGTGGAAGTCATATGCTTATGAGACAGTGCTCTGGATCAAAGTTTTTTGGTGTTGGTGGTTTTGTGGTTTTTTTGTTTGGTTTGGTGGTTTGGTTTTTTTTTTTTTGGAGGGGGGTGTGTATGTGTCCCCCCTGTCTAGTCTACTGGAAGGGTGACTTGCTCTCCAAGGTGCTGTTGTTCCAGATACCAGTTGCTCAATCCTGTTTTATTGATGTATCACAGGTTGAGCTTTAAGTCTGTTTGCACTTTTTTCCCCCCTATAACTTTCAAACAAATAAAAATATTTTAAAGGCAATACTGAATTGATGCTTGTGACATAAGGCTGTTTCTTACTTTCTTTTTAGTGCCTGCCTTTGAGAAAGTTCTTCACCCATTTACAGAGTATGTGTACGTTTTTTGTTTTATCTCCCTAAAGCCCTTCTTTTTTTTCATACCAGACGAAGATGACCAGCTCAGCTGGATTGTGGCTAGAGCCTTTTATCCACTTAAAGGTATATTCCAGTCAATGAAGTAAAGGCTATTTTCTTTTCTGCTGTCTGGTTTTAAGGCAACTTGCATATAAGAATATTATCCTGGGACAGGCTTTGCTAGACATACTGAGAAGCTTCTAAATAAGCAAATCTTTCATTTCAAGATTCATTGTAATGAAACAATATGAAACTGACTAAGATGAGGCTTGTAAGATAATGACAGATACATAGTTTGAAATCTGGTCTAGCTATAGTTGTCTCTGCTCGTCATTTTGGCTTTCATAATACTTATAGCCATGTAAATGGATTTTTGTAAATACATGTGACCTTTTAAGTTTGTTTTTTCTGTTCCTTTGAAGCTTCCATATAAGAAAACAATTACTTTTAATAGCTTTTTATTATTTTGTTATAGTATAAGATCGTTGGTGTTACAACTTTTATTACCTGCAGATATAAATCTTCTGATTTAATGGCTGTGCTATGAATTTATATATCAAGTAGCCTTCTCAGAACCATAATATAGTGTTTTGGTTTGTAGAATGATTAACCATAATGTTTGAAGCAGGCTCTTGCTCTCTAGATTGGAATTTAATTTGAATTTTGTGCCAAATGTTATCTTTCTACCCAATGCAAATCTAAAGGAGTACTCTTTTTTTTTTTTTTTTTTTTTTTTTTTAAACTGGGCAAGGGAGGGGTAAACTGTGTGAACTTTCTTCATACCACTCAAGTTTTTGAGATTTGGGGGGTGGGGGCAAAAATTGGGTATCGTAGCGTGGTGTACAAATTCATCATTGCATACCATGCCACCTCACTAGCTTTGAACAATCAAACCCCTGTGCCCAAGGCAGCTTTTTCCCCTGGTGTTACCAAAAGGCACGCTTCCTAACTCATGTCAGAATATTTTGGATGTCGGTTTTCTATTTTTCTCTCCCAGTGCATCCCTGCCTTGATGGAAGGAAATCTGACGATTTAGCAGCCTGAAAGATGAAAAATAAGTTATAAGTACCATACCAAATGCTTAACACCAATACATTCTCCTGTAAACTCATGGAGTGTTCTGTTGCAGGCTGCACAACTAGAATAAACCCTGGTAGAGGCAGAAACAAATAAACCTCTTCAGAGTGTGTATGTTAAGCCATATCCTGTCCTATTTCAGAGACCAGTTTCTGTCATGATAACTGTATTGGAGGAGGCCACTGTTTGTGGAGTTTGGACAGTAACAGCTTCGGATACTAAATGGAGCTTGAAAATCAGTTGCACTCGTGGAACAGCATGTACTTAAACTGGCTCTCCAGAGGTGAAAGGCCAGAGTATTCCCTGCTGCACGGCCTGTTTGCTATTTCAAAACACATGGGTGTATGGGAAACCTTCTTGTTTTAAAATAAGTAGTATTTATTCTAACTTCCCGAAGCAGTAAGATATGACTGTTTATGTACAATTTGAAGTTTTTCCTAATTGTACAGTCGGGGTGCAGGAATACTTAATCACTTGGATCCCAGTGAACTTTTCATATCAGCTTTTGAATAGTGGATAACTGGTAAAGTAGCAGTACCCTTAGATTTTTCCTGGCAAAGGAGAAATCCTCTTTCCTTTTTCTAGCTGATATGACAAGCAGCTCTGGTGTTCTTCTCATGCACCTGGCAAAGAGAGGAGGAGTGGGGTGCTGGTACTGTACCCCTCTCCCGGGCATTAGAAATTTCTAGGCTGGAAATATATGTGAGGTGGAGAAGGACATTCCTACAACTCGTCTGCACCCACCCCAGCTTCATGGGTGCTTTGAAAAGTGTTTTGGCTTGACTGTCCTTTCATTTTAAACTTTCGGTTATCATTTTCACATAGCTCTCGTACTTTCCCCTGCTGCTCAGGTTCTGAGTTGCAAAATGCAACTATAAATTT